GCAAATCCCATCCCAAAGGTGTTTTGAACTTTCTGGAAAAGAGCAGGAATATTCTATTCCGTACTCTCTTCTGCTGCATATTGGAAATGGGTGTCCCAAAATTACTGCCATGATTAGGCTTTATCTGCACACAGGGGTTCCTGCAGCAAATGGTGCAGTTAGCGTTCATGCAATTGTCAGCTGTCTCTGGGAATATGTGCCATGTAGCTGCACCGAGGCACTTTGGGATCACTTCCAGGACAGGTAATAATTGGATATGTTTTTCTGCAAAAGGAATTGCAAGAATGGCTTGGGTGCTATTGGCACCAGAGAGGTTTAGCTCTTGTCATTGCAGCAGAGTTACTGGACTTTACGGGAGCGTACAAGGAGCCAGAGCAGTTAGCTGCCCATCTGTCTGTGAAGCAAGACTGAGTTTTCAGTGTACCTGCAGATCCAAATTAGAGGTTTTCCTGGGTGGATAATTGCAGGGTTAGTGCAACTTGGGAAAAGTTTTTGATGGCGCAGTATGGAATTACCTGTAATGGGCTCAGCCCCTGGCCTAGTTTCTTTAAAGGGTCTAGACAATTAAAGAGCAGTCTTTTGGCAGCTTTTGGTTAGACCTAGAAGTTTCAGGTGTGTGGTCAGGTAGTTCAAAGTAGATGCAGCTCATTTTCCTATGTTTTCAACATGACCTTGTTGATGATAATTAAGCCAGTATCTTTATCATCCAATCATGGACTAGCCTGATAGGAGTATCCTGCTTATTTTTAGACTTGGATCTCTTATGATAGCAAATTCAGAAATCTCTGTAATAAGATTTCACAGAATTATTAGTTTATTTAAAATAAAAGGCCATTTCTGATCAGTTGTTTAGTGGTGAATCAAGTGCAGAGTTTTGGACTGTATAGTTAGAGCTGAGGGAAAAACACGTAAGGCCAATGTTTACATAAGGAAATGAGACTTAGCGCTTCCCCTTATACCCTGTGTATTTGGGTCACTGGACTGAGACGTGCCCAGAGCACATGATGTACATTCATCAGGCTGTAGAAATGTTGAGGCAAAAGTTTTCACCAGAGAGTGACTGGTTTCTATTTGCTGTTTAGAGAATGACCAGGCATTTCAGTTACGCTTGGCCCTGGCCTGGGTCAGTCACTGATTTGTTACTTGAATTTGGGCTAGTCTATTAACTTCTCTGTTCCAGTGTCCTCACCTGTAAAACTGGTATGCTGTTTCACACCCAAAACCCTCTGACAAGAGAGACAAATTCCATAATCAATACATTGAAATTCCTAGATACAAAGAGCTGCTTTATGTATGTTGCAAAATATTTTTAAAGATGCGAGTTTTTGTGGAAGAACTCCACAGAGAACTTGTTTAAGTGAGGTTAGACATTTATATTGCTTTATCTAGCTGTTCCTTCAAGATTACCACACGTGAGCTTCAGAAAAAGGAAAGATAAAATGAGGACAGGATGACATTGATTGTGTGTGTATAATTGTGGCTGATCTACAGTTACCAGTTGCTTACCTGAATCAAATGGATCACCAACACAAGATATGTAAAAAAGGCCAGTTTATATCATGAATGCCTCCAGTAACATTACTGCTAAATGGAATAGTGACGGCTTTTATTACCTTACAGTGCATGTTACCCACTGTATAGAGTTCCATACTGAGAGCTGGATGGTTGCATAGTCTTGATTCTCTATTATTCCTAATCAGTGTATTTCATTAAAGGCAGCTAAAAATATCTGCTTATGTTAATGGTACTGTTTAACACAACGGAGAGTCAGCAGTGCGATGCAGTAAGGAAGCAGAGGTGAGGAAGGTAATAAAGAGGTAGTCTTTGTAATAAGAATTAACCAGTTGTACACAAAAACGTGGAATCTCTTTCTAAGTCTTGTAGACCTCTTGCTGAAATCTTTAGTGACCTTGTAGTTAAAAAGAATTAATGAAAACAGCCAAAAGGCCCTTGAGATCATGCTGGTTTTGTATGTTTCCCAGATAATTTTTGAACCTCTTGCTTCCCTATAACCAAATTTGACAGTGAGCAGGAACCTCAAAAGGCAAAAACATTCCTGCAGGTTCACGTATAGGTGTTAAAGCAGTGGGTGGTATGTCTTACCTGTGGCAACAGTTGCAGAAGGAGCCACAAAAATGATGAGAGGGATGGAACACTTCTCCTATGAGGACAGGCTGAGAGAGTTGAGGTTGTTCAGCCAGGGAAGAGAAGGCTCTGTGGAGACCTTATTGTGGCCTTTCAATACTTAAAGGGGGCTTTTAAGAAAGATGGGGAGAAACTTTTTAGCAGGGCCTGTTGCAACAGGACAAGGGGTAATGGTTTTAAACTAAAAGAGGGTAGATTTAGACTAGCTATAATTTTTTTTTTTTTTTTTTTTTTTTTTTTTTTTTTTTTTTAAAGAAAGGGTTAAAAACCTTTTTTTTTTTTACAATGAAGGTGTTAAAACACTGGCACAGGTTGCCCATAGAGGTGGTAGATCCCCCATCCCTGGAAACATTCAAGGTCAGGTTGGATGGGGCTCTGAGCAACCTGATCTAGCTGAAGATATCCTTGCTCACTGCAGGAGGGGTGAGGCTAGATGACCTTTAAAGGTCCCTTCCAACCCAAACTATTCTTTGATTCTATACCTTATTACACACTAAGGAAAATCTTGGAAGACAGAAGAAAAAATTGCTCTAAAAGCCTCTTCAGTTCTGGTGTTCGTGAAACTACGGCTTCTGCCTATGTTCATTTTATATATGTGTTGCAGGAAGAGTTCTATTAAAAGAATTGCTGGAGGTCTTGTGTCCTTCTATTAGGAAAGCAACCAAATACCTTTACTGTTAAGCTCAGTGTAAGTAGTCTGGTTCAATTTCTGTATTGCTTCTCTAAAACAACTCCAGGTTAAATTTATCTAAGCCTAGTAAGTTTTTGTTTAATATGTTTGTATTGCTTTGATTCTGAGGGTTCTCTTGTGGTTTTGTAGCTCATGATGACGAAAGAGCCAAGCTTTTGCCTCTGAGTAACACAACCTATACAAATAGAAGTAAATGAAGTGGTACCAGCAGTGCCTGTACTCTGTCTGCTAACCACAGTGTTTATCAGTTTTGCTATCTGCTGACCAGTGCCATATTGTATTAACATACCTCTGAGGTATTCAGCGCTTGATAGTACTAAATCAACAGCCTGATTACTGTTTATCAACACTGTTGACTTTCACAGGATTCCTCCAGTCACACTGGCATGCAGTATTACTCTGCAGGAGCCCGGTTAGCTACAATGGTAAAAGCATTATCACCTTAAGAAACACCTTCTGTAACCTTTTACTGCATAGTTTGCTCCAGTGTGGAAAAAGTGGCAGGGAACAGTTAAATCATTGTTCACACAGGAGTAGACCAGTGACGAACATGAACGATGTTGCTGTGCTTGACAGTCTTTGCACGTCACTTGCCAATGCTCCATTCTGTATTTCCTTTGGAGATATACCTGAGCAGTTAGTGAATTGAAGCCAGTTTGCCTGAAAGCCTTAAATCCAAAGAATATTTGTCCCTGCTGTCAGCTTTGTCTCCTTGAGAACTTCTCCTTCTTTGCTTTAGTATTAACAGCATTTGTTGTCACAGAGAACGTAAGGGGTGGCCTGCAACACAAGTGGAATAGACGACTAAGAAGTACAGAATGGTAATACTGGGAGCAACAGGGAGAAACGTTGGCTTCATTGAATTCCATGAGAAAACTCCATTAGACTTCAGTGGAGCAAGTATTTTGATTCATGGTGTGAACAGTTGTATCCAAACACTGTGCTGCAACAGCTGTTATTAAAAGCCTGATGAATATGAGCCTTGCGTATTAATACTGAGGAGTGTCATGGACGGAGTGTATTCTGAATGGGTATCTGCAGTGGATGTAGGAGGTACTACTAGGATTCTGGCAGGAAGAGTAAAGAATGCTAAAGCAAATGATGTATGAACTAAGCAAAGGGAGCAAGAGTGATGGCAGGGTTTAAGAGGAACTGGAGGATCTGGGCTGTGAAGAGCTCTAAAGACACTGGTTAAGAGTGGAGTGGAAGGCAAAATTGCTGCAGATCAGAGCACCAGGGAGTGGTAGCAGCCACCTGAAATTCTACATTTTTGAAAATAATCAGTTTCAGTTCAGTCATCAAGCCAGCTTCCTCAATATTAATGTTGTTTGCTGTATTGTTCTAGGAAAAACAAAACAAAACGCTCAAAAAACAACTTGGGAGAGCAGCAACAGGGGAAGCTAAAAGAAGTTGCATCAGACTCTATCTGACTTCATGTCTCTATGCAATTGTGGTTGTTGTTTTGCTTTTCAGTATTGAATTATTACAAATGGTGACTAATACTGAAGTGCCATGGGACCTACATCTGGTCCCATATTAAGCCATTAAAAAAAAAAAAAAAGACATTTAAAATAACTGCTTAGTTGTGGAATGGTAAAATTCAGTTGTAGACTGAAAGGGCTGTAGACAATCCCAGTAGCAGAGTTTTCCTCTTAGCCAAAGGCTTTGTGTTTTCCCATGCTTGTTGCTTTTGGCAGAGCTCCCTCCTCCCATCTCCAAAGTTAATGCTTTCGTTGTCAAAGTTTGTTGTGTATTCAAGGCTAGAGAGCACCTAAAGAAAAATTGGGAAATCTCAGATCCAGTACTGAATCTCAGATAACTCTTGGCAAGTAAATAAGCTCATATGTATGCATGATTGTCAGTTTGTTGAATTTTAGTGATAGCTGTTTATAAACTTGAATTTCAAAAACTAGTAGAAGTTTACTTATAACTCCTACAGGTTGTGAAGTTTTGCAGTGTTTTAATAATTACATAGCTGTCATGAAAATAGTAGTATAGGACATTCAGCATCCCGATAAATATTTTCAGTGGGAGTACTGATAAAAGGATTTGTAATAGAGCCTTTCATGAATGAAGGTGAGCTTTCAGGCCTAGTCCATGCATATAATTATTCTTTGTCATGCAACTGGAGTTTGGAGTGACTTTCCCCTTAATTTCTCGACAGATTTTGGATTTGGAAATTTCTATAAGAGTGGTGAGCCTCTGACGACATGGTGTGGAAGCCCACCGTATGCAGCCCCAGAAGTCTTTGAAGGACAGCAATACGAGGGACCCCAGCTGGATATCTGGGTATCACTATTCTTTTTCAAACTAGATTCAAGTAAACTTTTGGGAAGCTGGAACAAAGGAATCCTCTTTGATTTTTCTTAAGCTGTATACAAGCTGTTCCTCTTCAGCTTTTTTTTCTTGAGTGTCACAAAATGCCTGTTAACACTGAATGGAAGTTACTTATCCAGATAGCTATTAAATGTATGCTGTAGGTGTATGTTAGCCCACTAGAGGAAAAACTGCAGCTCCTCCAAAAACTCTCCTGACTGAATGCATGAACTCTGCTTTTTTCAGTGCATTTAGTATCTTCAGTATTAAGTGGGAACTGAACTTGTAAGGCTGTAAGTTCTTGATGAGGTTAAAGGGATTCTGAGCCACGGAAACACAGGAGAGATGATGACTGCTTTGCTCTTTGAGCTGGAAACAAGCGCATTTGTGCCACAAACATTTCTACTGCAGGCAGCTGCATGTTTTTATATCAGTCTGTCTCCATGCATACTACTCTTGTGGAAGAGGATAGACAGTGCAACCCACATTCTTATGCAATGGAAAAGGGACTAAAATTAACTGAAAAAGTTTGTGCACCCCTCACACGTTGTCAGAGACTGCTTTTCATTCTTAATTTGGTGTTGTTTGGGGTTTCTTGTTTGTTTTTTAATTTTAGTATTCTGGTACTCGTAATGATGGATTCATATCCTAAAGCAACCAGAGACAGTACAATTTGGCAGTCTCTGCTCTGGCATCAGGTTTGCAGTGATAATATTGCACATAGCGTAACAACACGGGCACTGACATTTTGGTCAGAGCCTGTTACACAAATTAGGGCAGTTCATGGAAAGTTACCTTTCAGCTGCTAATCTAATTGCTTCAACAAATAAAACCTGTGATTTTTGAAAACATATTTGTGTGTATGCATGTATTTCTCTATATACGTACACATATATATGTAGCTCATTAGATTTTTTTTTTAGAAAAAGGCTACAGCCTTTGAGTCCTTACTAACTAATAAACGTCCAGCAGACCTCAGCTAAGCTTACTGTTTCAAGTAGCACAGGCACTGTTTGAATGTCAGAAGTGAATCTCTGAACTTCGGTAAATATTCTTCAAATATATAAGATCCTAAATTGTTAACAGAATCTGCTTGCTCACAAAGAGAAACGCATGTGTGTTATATTTAAGAAAAAATCAGCATCTTCACTTATGTTCTGAGTTAAGGATTCTGTATCTCTTTGCAACACCCAATCACAGAATAAGTCTGCTGACAGTGCTAAGCTTGCAGGAGGAATGCAACAATCCACAGCTCAGTTTTTAGCAGGTTAAGGAAAGAAGTGACTTTTAAATATATGTATTTAATTTTAAAATCTCTGTGTACTTACAAAGTTTTAAGGTGAATGTTGAATGCCTGCTTTTTCCCCTTGAGAAATCCAGTGCTGTGGCTATCTATGGCATCTGATTGGCATGAGGGTCTGGTGTGGTTATTTCATCTGGCATGGCACTGTATTTTTTTGGCATATACTGCAAGACTATTTACACTTGCAGTGGCAATTAACTTGCATACTTTCAAAAAGGAGTCTGGCAATTGGAGGAGAGCTCTTTCCCAAATTGTCTCCTTTTGCTCGTGTTTAAATAATCTCTCATGCTCAGCACCACACACAGCAGTGCAGAATTACTGGTTAGTGTTCCCCTGAAGCTGACTTTTCATGAAGTTACCAGTGTGCCTCTTACCCAGGCTTTTGCAAATTGGTAAATGTAAAAGGTTACAGTTTCTTTTTTTGAACGGCTGCTGTTTGAGGTTTGTTTTTGTTTGAACAACATTGAGATTAATAAAAAGTATCTCTAATTCTCACCTGAAGTTGGGGCTCACTTTTCAGGTATCATTCAGTCATCTGTGTGGAGCTTCCTGCTAGCAGAGTCTCTAACGCATTACACTTCAGCTTACCTGCTTATCAGCACAAGGTACTGCAAGCCTAGCTATTTTGGGTTAGCTGAGTGTTCTTAATGTTTAGGGATCTTCAGAAATCTAACTCCTTTTTGTATACATTTCCTGTTTCTGCAGAACATAATTTTATTTTTTTTCTGTGACAGGATTTGGCTAGCCAACCTCAGAGACTTTGCTTGTAGCTTGAAAAATGAAATTAATATTCTCTTTCTTCCAGAGCATGGGTGTAGTTCTTTATGTTTTGGTCTGTGGAGCGTTACCTTTTGATGGACCAACTCTCCCCATACTGAGGCAACGAGTTCTTGAAGGAAGGTTCAGGATCCCTTATTTTATGTCAGAAGGTAACAACATGTCCTCTTATGCTCTTGGTGTGGTAAACCTTGAATAAATTCTAGAATAATGTCTGCTGCAAATACAGCAAAGGGTAGTGCATCGGCACACTAGATTATGGTATGGCAGACTATTCTTTTTGCAAAGAAACACAAATAAGCCTAGGTGCAGTTAGGCTGCTGCTAGCAAACTAACCCATTTTTCCCTGCACAATGCGTGGAGATTGCAGTGTGGCTGTGCCCATGGGCAGGGAGAGAGTCGAAATGGAAGCTGAAGGATCTTTCATGCTACTGTGAACAGAAATATGGGGATGCAGGGGGAGAGGCACATTTGTGTAGCAATTAGCTTTCACCCTGCAAGGCCATATACATTTTAATGTGGAAAGAAAATATGCTGAGAGCAATACTGCTGTCAAACCTAAGATGTGGATTGGGCATTTCCTGTTTTTTGACAGCATCTGCTAAACAAAAGTAAAAAAGTACGCAACCAGTTCCTATGCCAGGTTCTCAATTGTCGTGTATCTGGCACTCCCACGTGCAACCACGAGATCTCTCCCTCACTCAATTGCCCCATCTGTTGGGTTTCACTGTCCCTCATGCCTGTTCAAACAAGAACAAATGGGGCCATTTTTACACAGGGCTTGATGGTGTGCTTCAGCTTCCCTATATTAAAGGGTCTCTAAACCAGATTACTTCAAAACAACCTTCCTGAATCAAATCCTCTTTCGATATACTCCCTTCTGTGCTTCTTTTTAAAGGGAGTTTAAAAAAAAAAAGGGTTTTCAGCCCTGCCGTTAAGGGTTCTGTGGTGTAAAACATTCTGGTCTTCCCCTTTTTCTTTCTGGTGGCATGTACTCCTGCACACCGCCTCTGAAAATAGCCACCACAGTGTAGCTATAGCGCACTTGGTTGCTTTTAGCAATGCCGTTACGGCACCACAGCAACCCCTCAGCTGCCTAGGCACGTTTTGCGGCCGACTGAATAGTATTGTTTTCTGTGACTTCGCTGACATAGGTATGTGACCTAGATCCAGGTACCTTTGTGTGAGTTGCAAGCATTGCTGTAACTGCAGCGTAGATCGGCTGTTTTCACAGGCTATTTGCTGTTCCCCTTGCTGATCACATGGTGATGCAGGGAGTGGAGAAGGGTGTGCCTCTTAGCAAAACTGTGAAAACAAGAGAGAGAAATAGGCATAAATAGCCAGAGATCTCTCTGTTGTTTGTCATAACTACCTAAGTGGACTGACTCATAATAACTGTACTGTAGCCATATCATGGTCAGCTAGACATATACAGCAGATTGATAAGCTCACTTAAAGGAACTTGCATTGACTTCCTATCACATACAAACTGCACATTTATCTCTTGTGCTCTCATCTTCCAAAAACCGAGATCTGAAAAAAGGTGATGGTTTTAATGCTGTCCAGTATGTAGTAGTCAGAAAGCAGCAATGGTTTGATGTGTTCAGAATTATTCTGACACCTAAAGCTACTGATTGTGCTTTGCTCCTGGAATTAAAACAGATAAACCTGCAGACCCACTGGCTACTATTCACAGATATGTTATTTTTACCTTTCTTTTTTGTGACCACTAGGGTGAAAATAAGTTTTTAAAAAAAAAAAAAAATCCAGACATTAACCCTAGTTTTGCCACTCCCTTGTTCGATGATCCTGGACAAGCTATTTCAAACTGTGCTGGAGAAGGATGCTAATTACTCCCCACCACACTTCACAGAGGTTGTTTAAAGCTTTATCAGTTAATGTTAGCATAAGCAGCTTCAAAGAGGTATTAAATATTGCTATTACCCTCATGTGGGAGCTGTGCAGAAGGAATGGCACTGATAGCCATACCATGTGTTTAAAGAAGTTGGTGCTTTGTGCTCCTTAATGTGACATTTAATCTTGTTTTGAGAGGTTGTTTTAGTCTTCAGGAAATGTATTTAGCACAGAAGTTACATAGCAGTAAGGCAGTTTCCTGTTCTCATGCTCTGTATTGGTATGTCTCAGGTGAATATATGCAAGTACCACTTAGCAGGTTGGTAATTTTTTTTTTTCCCCAACAGAGTGTGAACATCTGATTAGAAGAATGTTGGTCCTAGACCCATCCAAACGGTTAACTATTGCTCAGATTAAGGAGCATAAGTGGATGCTTATAGAAGTTCCTGTACAGAGACCTATTCTTTATCCACCAGGAGAGGAGAATGAGCCTTCCATTGGAGAGTATAATGAACAGGTCTTACGGCTAATGCACAGCCTTGGAATAGACCAACAGAAAACTATTGAGGTAAAATAGAGTCATACAGATATTTGTCCCTAGGGGAAAGGTCTCCTGTTTTGTTTTTACGACTAGAACTTACTATCCGAGTTGCTTGGAACATTCTTTATTTCAACAGTTGGGGGGGGGGAAACCCAAAAAAACCTGGTGGTATATTTTACCTGGTCATACCCTAGCAAGGGCAAACATTTTAAACATGCTGTGTTGCTGCGTCCCTGGCCTTCCAATGTTCTCAGTCTGTGCCAGCAGACTGATCAGGAAGAGGAGAGACATCCCTCCAGAAAGTTTCCTAGAGATCATCCCTAGCAGAGCTAAGGTGTCTGTGTTATGCAAACTGCAGGCAAAACATCGTGCAGTAGGCCCACGGACAACTTGACCTGTGTGCCTTATGCTGGCTGACAACACCCAGCTATTCCAGTCCCAGGCATCCTTTGCCCATAGAGGAAAACTTGTGAATGAAAAGGCAGCACCGTGAGAGAAAGGATACTCCTCTGTCAGGAATCCAAATGAGAACACATGGAAAAGAATAACATGTTCTGGTCACATATTCCAGGACTAGGTACTGTTCTTTCAGTGTATTAACTATTTACTTTAAACAAGGACACATTTCAAAACATTTGACGCTGCAGTTGCTTTAAGCTAGAGGATGCATAGAAATATGGTATGCACTGTGTAAAAAATGGTAGCCCACTAGGGCTGCCTGTTACAATGGTGATACTTGCTGCTGCTTAAAATGGGTTATTTCTAGAGATTTTCCTTAGCTAAGCCGACTCTTATGCACAGAAGTAAAATAAAGGAGCCATATTAGGTTCCACACTGTTAGATTTCCTGGGCGGAGTTGGATAAATCATTACTTCTCAAATGCAGAGAGAGGAGGGGAAATCAGAATTGAAAGTAAATTCATTCTGAACTTCTAAGAGGGTTGAAAATGAAATCCAAAAAGGAACATAAAAGCATTAAGCAGTTGAATGTCTCTGTCCAATCCCAAATCATGCTTTTTAGCAAACATAAATGCCAAGAGTCCCTGTGGAGTTAACACAATAATTTCCTTCAGGATGGTTGATAACTTTAAGCCATTGTGGGGGTTGGCAGTTTGAGTACTTTCTGCTAAAAGAGGCTAGTTTCTCTACTTTGCAGAGGCTCAGTTCCCCATTGCTTCTAGTGACTTGGAATGGCCAATATATTCAGCCTTCTCCAGGTTGTGTTTTTTTTTACCCTAGATGGCAATACTTTCTTCTTCTTGGTCTCTTAGAACGTAAAAGACAACGCATATTTGGCTGCACCCACACTTTTGTGCTTCTCTTTTTCAGTCTCTGCAGAACAAGAGTTATAACCACTTTGCTGCTATCTATTACTTGTTAGTGGAAAGACTCAAGTCACATCGGAGTAGCTTCCCCGTGGAACAGAGACTTGATGCTCGCCAGCGTCGGCCAAGCACCATCGCTGAGCAGACAGTAGCCAAGGTAAGGTCTTGTTGCAGGCAGAGGTGGGCTTAAGGCTGTGCAAGACATTCTTCTCTTTAAAAATGGTGTTTCTACATAGATTCATTTGGAATCCATTGCTATTTTCTGATTTCTATAGTATGTAGACTTGCAGCATCATTTTGGAAAGACTTTTTTGGATTTGCCTCCTGTCGGAGCTGTATGATGACAAATTAGTTGTCTGGCATACCTCCTACAACTGCTCCTGCTGCATCCTCCCCACCTCCCAAAAAGAAAAACATTTTAAATGAGGAAGGGAAGTTGACTGCATTCTGAAGCCCAAAATGCAAACAATGGTTTTGGCTTTAATAGGTATCTGTGTGGTTTAACCTTAACTCCCAGTTTATTTCCCAGTTAAAGGGAAGCACTGTGCTTGTGCATCTGATTGGAACACTTCCATTTTTTGAGACTTTCAAACCTTTTGCTAGGAAGTCATGGCTTAAAATGTTAGGAAAATACTGTTTCTGGAGACTGTGCAACACTTGGAGTATCTTTAATGTGATTGACAAACAAGCTGTTGAATTTACGGAGAGCTGTGCTAGCATGGGGGCTAAAAGCATGCAGGCTGTACTTAGTGTCATAAACATAGTTACTCTAAAGGGACCTGTTGAAAATAAAATTACTTTTTCCCCTGCTGTTCTCTAAGATACGCTTTCTGTCTCCGATGAAATGAAGTATGGCAGAGAATAGTAGAGAGGTACCCAAAAGAAAATAGTAAGATCAACCTAACAGGTTAAGATGCCAATTCATTGTGATATCTTAAGTACCCGACAAAAATATCACTGTCGTGAGACTCTTAATGGCTCAAGATTCAGAGATTTGTTCCTAAATAATGTCATTTCTTTTAAGATTTGCACCACTTTTTCCTCTTGACCCAGCAAGAGTACAATTTCATGGGAGATTTCGCAGCATGGCTGCAAAACCTCTCTGTCCGTAGAGTCAATGTGATGACTAATTGACTTAAGTCTTAAGGATGTCATGTGTATTTTATCAAGAGCAATTCTGGGTGCTTCTTACATCTGGTGCCAGCCCTTCCATTGCAGAAGGCTGTCCACTTAGTATTCTCTCTAATTATACTGACTGATTCAGTGCAGGCTCTAAGGCTATTCAGTCTGCTTCTTCCCTAGTAATTTTGTTCAGAAAGAAAGGTCATGTACAGTTTACCTTGTCTTATTCCAGGTTGGTTTGGGAGTTTTTTACATGTTGTTTTGTTTCATTAAGATAAACAGATGTTGTACAGCTTTTGATTTCTATTAATACATAACTGCAAGTGTGAAAGACTTGGCCTAAGATGACTCAGATTTATTGTGGTCTCAAGTAAATACTCTCTCAAGTTCACAGCCTCCTAGGTACTGTATTGCTGCTGTATAAAACAAGTGCCCAGACTCCACTTCCAGGAGATATCACAACCATGCTGCTCCTTTTTTGCTTGAGGCAGCAAGACACTATTTGGTTTTGGATTCTGTTGAAATGAAAACCAAATCACTTCAGCTATGAAAATACAGGTCCAGGAACAATATGGCTGACAAAAATTAAAACCAGCTATTTTCTTAGTAGTTCTAATAATAGAAAGACACAGTATTTAAAAGCAGATTATTACTTATAAGATGTATTAAAAGCAGGTTTTGGCAGACTAACAAGTAGGAAGGAAGAAAAACTCCTAGAAGGTAGTTCCTTATTGTACTAAATTCTAGTACTTTATAGCCATCTTACCACTTTTTCCTCAGGACTGCAAGCAATCTTGCAGTTATCCTGAGTAACGAGATAATTTGTTTTCACACATGGTGGCACCACAGGCTCCCGTATAAGACTGCTTGTTTCCTTTTGGACAGGCAAGTTGTATAGATATTGCACTTCAGGAAATTAACGTTAAGAAACAGTAAAAACCACTGTTCTCCGAATTGTGCCATGCTTGCCTTCCCTGAGGCACACCTCACCCTTCAACAGTGCTCCCTCTGTTAAAATATCTTCTTTCAGGTCCAGGTTGCTCTATTCTTGCTCATGCTTTTTCCTGCAGGAATCAGTGCATGTTAGAAAAGTAATTGAAACTAGCCCTATGTCTCATGGTAATATTAAGGGGGTTTGTACTGGATATAAAAAGGAATTCTAGCATGTCAGAAGTTGGAGGGTACCAAACACTGTCTTTACTGCTAGTAAGTGCTCAGCTTCAATAAGTAGCTCGCTTAATGACATTTGGGGTTTGGTGTGTGTTTTGGGGAGGGTGGTGCTTTTTTTAAAGTCGAAAGACTAAGAATGTAATTCATCAAGAATGAGGAAAGATCATACTTCTCCTGCTTTGGAAATGGGCTAGGTGGTGTTTATTTTTAATTCGTGACTTTGTTTTCTTCTTAAAAATTGTTCTGGTTTTGGAGTTCTTACAATCTTTTTTAGACACAAGCTGCGGTACCCTCAGTTAACTTGCATTCACAAAATGCAAGGTTGTTGCAGTCTCCGGGTCTTCCCTCAGCCTCAGGAGCAGACGCCTTTTCATTCCCTCCATCCAGCTGCCAGGGAGAGACAGCGTTTATGGAGGAAGAAAGAGTTGAGACACCAAAGGTACAGCTTAAAATCACCCTACTGTTTTGTCAAAAAATCATTAAGGCTACAAAAGATTGTTGCCTTTTAAATTAGTGCCTAGTAAGAACACTGATAGTGGTAGTAGCTGTAGCTCTTCAATAGTTAACTGAAGATCAGTTCCTTCTGACAGGGTAGAATTCATCATCCTAGCACAAAGCACTGTGGAGCCAGGGCCAGAGCATTTGCTAATCCAAACTAATGTCACTTCATTGACCTTAGTACACCTCCTGTGTCTTGACACTTGCAAGTAGCTGAGCTGGAGAACCCTGCTGCTTCTCCCTGCTTTCAGTAGCCTTTTCCTCAAAGACTCAAATGTTCTCAACCTGCTTCTAAGCACTTACTCGTAAGCATATGCTGTTCCCAAAAGTCTGGTCTCTGGCAAATTCTCATTCCTGGGTAACATCTCAGGATAGACAGCAAGTCAAATACAAAGACCTTTAGTACCTAAACACTCAATTTGTGCATTTCTTGTACTAGCTGGACAAAAACACATTGTGCCTGTTTCCCTAAATTTAAATTTCCTGAGCATCAGAGTTCTACATATTCCAGATTCTTTTTCAACATATAATTTTCAACAGCTGTGTCTTTTTTGATCACTAATCTGCCTCTTGTGTTCTTTGCTTGCATTCCAATCTTACCACACTGTCATTGCTAAAAGAAAAATCAACCTACAAATGTGGGGGTTTTTTTCTTCTTCTCAAATATATTTTTAAGAACCCTGAAGACTCTTCATATGTAGCTTCTAACACAAAGGGTTCACTGCTGAATATCTAGAGTAACCTACCTAGCTACTCATCCAAAAAGTCAGACAAACGAGAACAGGAAGGTATAACAGAACCTTAAGCATAAGCTTCCATTGCCAGCTAAAGCAATTAAAATACCATGCACTTAAATTCCGTATCTCTGCCAATTTCATAGGAAGCCAGCCAAGAGAGTAACATTTTTGTTAATTTTTCTTTGCATGGTAAATAGCCAGCAGGACCTTCTGACTGTCAAAAACCTATTAAAACTGCAGCATCTCAAATAGGTTGTAGCAGTTCTCAACTACGCCATTTCTGTAACTAGGAATGCCTGTAAAATCTTCACTGGAGACCGTGTAAAAATGCAGCTCCATCTAATGCGGTTTGTTTCCTGTAATCAGGCTGGATGACTTTTTTGTAGGCTTTCCACACCTCCACAGTTAACAGACTTAACTGAACTCAACTAATCAGGTGGGACATCTCCACAGCCTTGCAAATGTATGGTTACAGCTTAACTCTCTGAAGGGAGCTACAGTCTGATCCATTTTGCCGTGCAGCTTCGAGGTCTGTGTCAATACTCTGCAGGGTAGCAAAGTATAAGTGAAATACACAGGAGGTAGCAGTTAGAGCTTTTGTGAGGAAGGCAAAATAGCCTAAAAGAATTACATTTATGAAGTATATTGTTATTCTCATGAAACTTGTTTTTCTCTCTCATATCACATCACATTATAACTTTAACTTCAGCATATTGTATTTTGCCTGGTGCCAGCTAGGGGTTTGATTTCATGCTTGCCATTTTTAAGTTTTTATTGTTCACTTACTGGTTAGTTACCAACACTAAGAATGGCCCTATTTCTCATCACTGTTTATTTAAGTAACTCCTTGTGTGGTCTCTTACAGCTGGAAAGCAAAAAGCAATTCAAAGGCATTTGGAAATTAACATTTATTTTGCATCCCCCTTTGTTTTTATAGATGCAGTTTGGCCAGAGTAGATCAACAAATGGTGACTGCAGTAGGATGTCAAATCACAATTGACTTGGGAATATTCAGTGTCTTAAATATTACAGAACATGCCCGCTAAAAAATTCCAAGCTCTGATCTGTGTGCCATGGTAAACTGCAGAGAGCCAACTGCCCACATGGTATTGGATCTCTTCTTCTTTTCCAGCAGTTCACTAAGTAGTCTTTCCAGTGCCTTTGCTACCAGATCAGTAGAAGGCATTTGAATGGGAAAGTCACAAATGGAAAGTAAGGTGTGTTAAGAAATTAAGCTTAAAGATACGCTCCATTAAAATAGAGGGAGCAAATCCAGAATTTTCATGTGCAAGCATCATCATTTTACTCATGCTCAAAATATTTATAGATTTTTCTTGATAGTGCTTTAAATATTTTCCTGGAGTACTACCATGTAGTCTGCTTGCAAGACCATTTGTTAACAGCTACTGTTAATGCAGTGAAGCTTCTTTTCCAAACACGCTTGTTTTCAAAATACCAAAGGCCTTTGAAGAAAATTCAGGAATGGTTCATTGACAGTTTTACATGAAATCACCTGTAGCAGCGCCAGGTTTTATGCTAAATGCCTGTGTTGTTTCATCCATATTTTATCCAACCTCATCCTACCGGAACAATAGGAGTGACTTGTGCGACAGGACACTAATTAGAGCTTCTAAGGTATTACAGAACAGAATATCCACCCCAAAACTGCATGACACACAGGCTATGGTCCTCAAAACCCAAGTAGTTGCATATGGAAATTAGTTAGGGTACAGAAGGATTCTTTTGAATTGGAGAATAAAAACAGAATTAAAATCCTAAGAGTATTTAAGGTTGGAAAGGTACCTCTAAAGGCCCTTTAGTCCAACCTCCTGCTAAAAGAAGGTCTACCTTCAAAACTAGATGAGGTTGCTCAGGGCTTTATCAAGTTGAGTGAACTCTAGGAGGGGGATTCCACAGCCTCTCTAGGCAATCTTTGTTTGCAGAGGAGCACCATGAATCAAATGGACTTTTGCTGGAAAGTGTGCATTTATTGTATTATTCTGACCACATCTCTGCAAGAATGCTGCAGAATTAAATACAAGACCGTTTTTTCATAGTGCTTATCTGAGCATGATGAATGAGCACAGTAGGTATAGTAAGGAGAAACAATGATACTGTACATTCCATAAATATTTTGTATTTGTGACTAAGCTGGCAAAGGTTTTTAATAACTCCTTAAAAAAAGAAAGCAGCCCTGGAGAACATAATACTGTGGAAATAAAGAGTATTTAGATTTAGGGAGTTGGGTACTAAGAGAATGTCAGTGGTGATCCTACCTTGAGGGATTTGTCACGTACAATTCTTTACTTTCTTACCTCAGTAGATTATAGGGAAGTTCATGCATTTTAAATATACAGGTTGCCTTCAGCCTACATGACAGGCAGCAGTTTTTTGCACTTTGGGGTGATGCTCTGTGCACATAATTGAAAGCTGTCCATCTTCTCCTTCTGCCATTTAGATAAATGGCTGCCTGCTAGATCCTGTACCTCCTGTGGTGATTAGGAAAGGATGCCAATCGCTACCTACCAGCATGATGGAAACTTCAATTGATGAAGGAATAGAGACAGAAGGAGAGTCAGAAGATGACCCTGCACAGGCATTTGCAGCCCTCCAAGCAGCTCGCTGTGGGAAACGACGTCACACTCTGGCAGAAGTTACCAATCAGCTGGTGATGATGCCAGGCACAGGTACAGAAGTTAGCATGGACATCTCAAAGCTCATTTCCTGCTCTTAGCACTCAATCCAATAAGCCCAGGATGAAAAAGACTACGTTTTATGAGCAACAAGTGCAAGACCGTTTCTTGATTTTGTTACTTAGCATTTGCTATGAAGGCCAAAGGGGGAAAAAAAAGCCACAACAAAACACCCCAAAACCTGCTGTACAGACAGTATAAAACCAAAGCAGCAAATATACAGGTGGCTACAGTCACGTACAATGCCAATAGCCGTTGGTAAAGTCTGGCAAGTTGGCTTGTTCTTTCTCACATAACTAGATGTCCCCAAATCGTTCATCCCCCTAAAGATGTGCTGGCAGAGGAGGACAGCGGGGAAAAGACAACCTCTGGATTCTCAGGTATTCTAAAACCAGCAAGTCGATGAAGCCTTTCACCTCAGGCTACAGTCTTGTCAGGATTATCTACAGAAAAAAACCCAACAAACACTGAATGCTGTCTAAGCCAGTGAACATCATCTGCATAGTGTCTTATCACTGCAATAATGTAAAAACCGGTAGCAAATCCCCATTCGTGTACTACAAGTGTTAAATTACAGTTACTTTATGAAACTTGATTTTTTTTTTGTTTCGTTTCCTCCAAGACAGTAACTGTTAGCTGGAATAACTTGAGCTTGTAGCACTTCCTTTGCTTTGTTAAATTACTGAGGCACTTTCCTTTTATTCTGGCTTTTGGGTTTTGTCACAGGGAAAGTCTACTCATTGGATGAAAACGCATCTCTGGGCAGTATTGATTCAGAGTATGGCATGGGATCCATTCAGAGAGATATTAAATTCCTGGAAGATACCCCTTCCTTGAAAGAAATGGTGCTAACTAACCAACAAGCACCCAGAATGACAACACCTTTCATAGGTCTGAGACCTGCTAATCCAGCCATGCAAGCACTCGCCTCCCAAAAGCGAGAAACCCACAACCGCTCTCCTGTCAGTTTCCGAGAGGGGCGCAGAGCTTCCGACACATCCCTCACACAAGGTAATGACAACCATTGTTACGACACGGTATACCTAGACACAGTAATAGAGGTACTCCATACACAGAAGCACCAGGTCACCTTGTGACTGGGTTGTTACTCAGCTTCTCACATTTGCTGTGCTAACCAGATACGAGTTAACTGATTTTCTGACAAGGGTTTTGCTCAACTCTTCTCCAGGAATTGTAGCATTTAGACAGCACCTCCAGAATCTGGCACGAACCAAAGGAATCCTGGAACTGAACAAAGTTCAGTTGCTGTATGAACAGATGGGATCAGAAGAAGAACCCTCTCTGACATCAACTGCCACCCAGTTTCAGGACCTCATTAATAGTCCTCCAGAGGTACTTAAACCAGAAATCAAGCTCTATCTTTCCACGTGTTAATGCTTTGGGACAGATAAGGAGAGGCTAAGATGTTCTGGAGATCAAGTTTCATCTTCTCCTTTCTGTCTTCTGCAGAATAGAGAATGGGTATTTGCAGGTTAGCCTTTACCATCCTCATGGTGTCAGGGAGATGGCCTTGTTATCAGATTTGGAAAGCTATTTTTTTTACTGCTTTTAATCTGAAGGATGTTTCAGATTTAACAAAGCCCAATAACATCTTTCCCTGTTGGAGTTGGTCTGGTATAATTGTAACAAGTGCAAAAGCAGAGTGATAACTTAGCCTCATTTGCTTAGTGAAATGCTAAATACCAGCTAAATAAAATAAATGCTAAATAAATAAATGCTAAATACCAGCCCCCTAGTTACTTGTTTCAAATGGAACAGGTCACAGCAAGCAGGAATAATAAGTTCCCGTTAAACCCCAGAAATAAAATGGGTAAGAAGTACACAGGCACTGTAAGCACCTAATGTTCCCAGTGAAGCCTGCAATTCTTAAAGCTCCAGCTGTTACTTTGACTGCTGGAAAAGTTCAGTTTGACAACCACTGAGTTTCAACGTTTTCACAAGGATCTCTTGCTTGATGTAAACATGCTGCAGTGCTCCTGGTATTCTCATGACAACAATTCACTCCCCTCCCATGTCAGCTTACTCCATGCATATCCTCTCCACTGCTATTGAAAACTCTTCACCTTCCGTTTTGAAGCTGTGAAGCGAGAGCTGCATGAAAGCACATTTAGAGTTTGGACGGTTTTCTAACCCTGCACGTTTACTATTTAAGAGGGCAAGAGAGAAAGTACATTACATAGAATATCATTTTAGTTACAGATGTAAGCCCTTGCCATTTTGCAGCACAGATAGTTCAAAGCTTTGTAATTTAGGCTCCTCACCATGCAGTGAAAGTGGTGAGTGACACCAGAGACCAGTCCATATAGCAACTGTGAAACCTCTGTCAGGGGAAATCTTTAAAGAAAAGGTTGAGGCAGAAAAGCCTTTTCTGGGGATGAAACTTGTTCCTCTTCTCTCTGCAGGAGGAAGCATCTCAGCAGCAGCAGGAAGCTGCATCTGCTTTCCCTAATGGTGCACATCCCCCATTGTTATCCAGACGGCAGAGCTTAGAAACACAATACTTACAACACAGGCTCCAGGTACCATACCTCCCCTCCACTGAATTAAACCAGCTGCTGTTACTAGGCAGACTGGCCTTCTACTAGGCTAAATCAAAGGCTACATTAGCAGAGAACAGCTGAATTCAAAATGATGCTGTATTTTTCTTTTGTCAGATACTGACCCTAATTATGCAAAAAGTAAACTATATTACTGTTTTCCTACTCAGTTACTGTATAGAGTTATTAAAGCAATTTAAAGTAACTGCTAGTTAATACCTGTTATCTGCATTGCACTCTGTAAAGGTTATGCATCAGCATCTGAGGAGCCACTTCTGACCCTCTGGGGCTTACTGTTCCCTCCCACCTTTTTTTTTTTAAACCGATTTTCATATAGCTTTAGTTTATAAAAAACTTTTTTTCCAGCTTGCAGCTTCTCTTTCACTTGGGAAGAAATCTTTCTGTGGATTTTTATGGTACAATCTATCATGCAAAGATACTCTTTGTCTAAGGGTTAGAAAGCAATAAGCAGTAGAGGCTGTGGTTTCAGATAAGAGCTCTACTGACAGCTTCTGAAAATGGAGCTGGGCAGTTACACTGTCATAAGGGCAGACAATCTTTCAGTTGCTGTCTGGACAAATGCATTAAATCAAATGCAATTTAAAACAGCACTGTTTCTCTTGCAGAAACCCACTCTACTATCAAAGACTCAGAATACTTGCCAGCTGTACGGCAAAGAATTGCCCCGGAGTCTGGAACAGCAGTTACAGGAACACAGGTAAGAAGCTTTCATGCAGATAAGTTACTCATTCTTACTCTCAAGAGTAATAAAAGAACTGGAACAATCCTTGTCCAACTTAAGAAATCCTTTGAAGAAGGAAAGCTTCGCTTAAAAATTTGTAAGGACACAGCCCTTCTTTTAAAAGGGGGACAATAGTCCTGCCACATGTTTACAAATTTCTGTGCTATGAGCTCTTTGTCAGCTAACCCTACTAGGTGCAGGTAAACTGCAAATATCTGTATGCTTCATATAGTACTAATGGGCATAGAGAAGCATAGGGGGAAGGTCCCCTACTACTTGCATTGTTGTACTTAATTTCACCCTCATCCTCCCAACCACCCACAGTTTATAACCTACATATTGCAGTATTTATCATAAGTCAGAAAGTGAATTGTGTATTTCTGCCTGCTGGGAAGCCATGCAGTCACTTAGGTATTTCCTGTCTTATTCCCGTGACCCAGTAATTCCACTGTAAAGTAAATCAACTTTTTCTTGTCATATTAGATCAGTTTAGAAGTGACACTGCTCTGAAAAAGCTACAGAAAAGACTGAATAGATTTGAAGTGACCCCTTCTAACTGTACACATTATAGCAGACAAGATTCTAATTGCCAAGTTAAAGGACTGTAAGGTCTTTATGAGCTCATCATTTGGTAATTGTTGAACAAGTAAGCAAGATAGATACTAAACAGTTACTATCCCTGAGTTTTGCAAAAGAATCACAGAAGGAGAAAGGAAAATAACCTAGCTACATGCTGTCTAGAACAAAAAGACTGAGGAACAGAGGTATAAAAATACTACCAGCTTTCAAGAAAGCATGCAATCTGTGATTGCTTTTTAGCTTATGGCCACTCCTGACAACTGTAGAGTTGATTAATCCTAATCAAGAACTTAGCTAACAGTATTGAGAGCAGGTTGGTGTACTTCTTTAAGAATAGGAGGTCTGTATAGAGAAATATGCTGAGAAGCAATAGATTTATCTTCTGAATGCTGTTGGCTTGTGTCAGTAGTAGGTTTCTTATTTCTGCATGCTTTGGGAATTGGTTGGCAGGAGACCTCCGCTTTGTCGTATCACAGGAATTTGTCAAACATAGCTATAACCTTGCGTTGTGTTGTACGTTCTTACTGTTTGTAGAGAGTCAAAAACATGGAGTTTTATGAAAGTTCAGAGAAAAAGAATATGGGGAGCAGGGGGACTTTGTTCATTTCCATCCTTGGAAGTGTTCCAGGCCAGGTTGGATGGGGCTTTGGGCAACCTGCGCTAGTGGAGGGTGTCCCTTGCCCATGGCAGGGGGGGTTGGAACTAGATGGGCTTGCAACCCAAACCACTTCTAGGATTAGTAGCCAGTGATATGCAAGTCTTCAGCTCCTAAGTTCCACAGAGCAGTGGATAGCAGGCTTAAAACGTAAATACAATGCACCTGATTCTTAACAAACAAAATTAAACAATGCATAGGGTTAACTTAACTGCACAGGAGAAAAAAATCACTAGGTGATTAAAAAGGTTGTCAAAAGGAGGTTTACAAACTCACATTCCAGGGTAATAATGGATGCATAGAAACATTGGAGAAAGCTACGCTATGCACATTTGCTGAAAGGTGAAGATTCCCGTCTGCTGTAAAATTTAATAAATGAGATTGCCCAGGAATTTTCCAATTCTGTGCTTCACTCCCTGCTGGAACTGTTGGGAGTGACTTGCATGCAGGATTCATGCTAGCACCTTAACACTTCAAAAGGCAAAAATAATTGCTGTTTATGTCCTTGATTCAGGCTGCATCAGAAGCGACTCTTTCTCCAGAAGCAGTCCCAGCTGCAGGCCTATTTTAACCAGATGCAAATAGCTGAGAGCTCATACCCAAGGTCAAGTCAACTGCCAATTTCATGCCAGGAGGAGCAACAACAGCAGCAGCAACCAACCCAGTTCAGCTTGCAGCAGCCTCTGAGCCCTGTGATGGAGCCTTCCTCAGAACAAATGCAATACGACCCCTTTCTCAGTCAATACCAGAAGGTACAGCTGGATCCACTGCCACCCTCCCAGATCACCAGCTCCTCACGGTTGTCATCACCAGTTCAGGTGCAGCAGCCGCCACAGTCCCTACAATATTCATATCAGACTTGTGAATTGCCTGTTGTCACCTCTTCTGAGCCAGACTACCCAGACCAATGCCAGTATTCCATGGACCCAGCACAACAGAGCAGTGTAGCATTGCCTGACAGCCAGAGCAGCTCAGCGTCTCACGAGTCCCAGTCAAACTATGATGCATTAACCCTCTCAGAATTGCCTGGACTCTTTGATTGTGAAATGATGGAGACTGTAGATCCCCAGCACAGTGGCTATGTCCTGGTGAATTAATATCATGGGGTGACTAACATGAGAGTGGAAGACAGGACAAGTGGAGAAGCATGTGAATTTTTGTTTTTTGTTCCTACCCCAAAGTTCATGGCAATTTTTCAATCCTTGAATTAACAGGGGAACTAAAAATCCACCTGACTGGAAAAAAAAAAGCAGGAGGTGGCAAGAAGTGTCTTGCTGGTGGCAGGGGCTAGAGAAAGATAGTGCAGTTTCATCCCGCAAAGAACTAGTTTGCATAGAAGGAAGCAAAAAAGTGAATTTTAGAGGAAGGAAATAACCCCTTCTAAAAAAATTGAGGAATTTGTCAGCATTCATCTAACATTCACTTGGAGAAACGAGAATGAGTGCACATTGTATTGTACTTCTTGGCAATAAAAGCAATAGTTTTCACTGAAATTCAGGGTAGATTTGGGTCTGCACTGATGGCAACTGTCATACTCTTACAACAGTAGCGTGAGGTGGAATTAAAGGAAAGTTGCACTTTGGCATCCCATTGCTGGTTAAGCTACTGATCTGGAACTACTCCATGGTAAGTCTCCAAGATCACCAGACATCTCAGGCAGCCTCCACTTCCTCCTGCTAGCAAGTAAACTGTATTTCCCAAGCTTGCCAAGGAACTCTTGATTGTCCACTAAGGGAACCTTCTGGATCTCTGCTAAGTGACACCTTGACTTTGTCAAAAGATATCTGACACTGACACAGGGCACCACAGTGATTTGTAGAGGCCTCTGGGTGGGGATCAGAATACTAAAAGATAAGCTAACAGAGAGAAGGTAAGAAGTACCAGGGGCGGGGGGAAACACACACAACCAAGAGCTGCAGCCAATGGCATTTTAAAAAAAAAAAAAAAAGCGGCTACCTGGATGGCTTTTGAAATCAACCCTTTTTGCAGGCAGGCCTTTGTGGAGGGCTCTGTCTTGGAGAAGTTCCAATCACTGGAAAGGATCCATCTGTTGTTCTGTTGCATTTTAAAAACAAGCAAACAAACTGTGTTTTAAATTTGCAGTATGTGTTGCTGGTGGTTATTGAGCTTTGTATATTTGGACAATTATTTAGGGTTTTAGAAGTTAAGGATAAAAACAATGAGCTTAAAAAAACCCCTGTGAAGTGATAGTGCTGTGCCTTTTTCAGTTCTTTATCAGCCTATATGCTTTTTTCTGAAGAAAGTAGACAATACCCCATTTATATCCTTGCTATAGCCAAAGTCCCTTCAGAGCACACGTTCCACCATGTGGAACATAATGTTTAACTTTCTTAGTGTTTTGATTGCTCATGTATATATAACATTGAAAGTATTACAGCAATATTTAGCATCACAAACTGTTGATGTGTCAACTGTTTCAGAAATACTAAACTCAACAAGCAGTTGTATCTCCAAAACTTTCCAGTCATGAAATGCAAGTCATAGGAAGATTGTTTAGGAATCTGCAGAAAGTTTAGATCTTTAGTTTGGGTTTTGCCTCTAGCCTTTAAGTATTGTGAGACATTACGGGATGATAGACAAATGAGGTTCACAGCTAGACCGTTCAGCCCTTTATCTGAGCAAACATTAAGCACAATTGCAGATTCATTAAAGCACAAAGAATGGCAGAGAAACTGTGCTGATTGCATATGTAGAACACACCACTGTTTGCTGAAAAGTTTGGTGAGCTAAGGTCTTTGATACTACAAATAAGGAGGGTGTAGTCACCAAACTCAAAGTTTGGGTATTATTCAGGGCATGTGGTCACTTAAAAATGGAATGAGTTGAAGATGTAATAGAAGGATGAAAGGAACATGGTATGTTGGTTCGTCTGTATTTGTCACATCACAGATCCAACCAAGCTAGAAAAAGGAGTTCTCAAAGCTGCTCTTTTTTCCTTCACTAGAAAGGTGGATAATCAGCCAGCATTTACAGCAATAAGACTGCATTTACATATGGAATAGTAAGACTTCAGTCACTGCATTGTAGGCTGTGTGAAGGAGGAAAGGGTTTAACAACTGAGAGAAGGCACCTTGTTTCTTGTATACTACAATTAGAGAGGCAACTCCTGTTGCTATGTAGCCTGCTCTGATATCAGTCCAGTTGTGCAGCTGGACTCAGTTCATTAGTGCTCAGCTTCTACCTCTGATATCGCAGTGATTCTCAAGGCATCAGCAAAAGGGAGTTTAAAGAACAGGGATCACATCCATACACTACTTACGTGATGCAAGATAAAGAGGGCTAGAAAGCTCTACTTTAGCTGGTAAAAAAAGGGGTTTATTGTGTCCTTTTCCTTCAAAAGGAAACTCATCTGACACAGTAAATAGCTATGGAACACAGAAACACCTTAAGTGACTAGCAAAGGGAAGGGAAATGGCTTGACAAGTACTGCAGTATAGCAGACCAGGCATTTCACTACTTTAAAAAAAAAAAAAAAAAAGAGAGGCAACAAAGAGTCCTGGCCTTTCATTCCTTCTTCCCTACCCCACAGCATAATAAACACTTTCTGGAATTTTAATATCTGACCAAGCACTCAAGGAACTACGTGGTGAAAACTGCTAACGGGGCACACACCACCTATGGACCTATGGAGACAGGCTCAGTTCTGCTCCAGAAGCTGGGTTACTGCTATAACTATAACCACTTCCTTCCCCATCCAACTCCAGGATACTGTACGCTTCAGGACTCAAAGATAAAAATAATATGTTTTTGAGTTTTGCGATTCATTTATCAGGATGTGCCAACTAGTCTAAGCTCATTTGAGCTTTGCAGTGCTGGTAAAGGGGAAGCTACAGTGTTTTTTAATGTAGTTTAGACTGACACTTCCCCTCGACCAAAAGCATATTTAACTTTTCATGTAATTTCCTTTAAGCCAATTAGAATAAAAGGCTTCTAGTGCCTTCTAATAGGGCAGAGTATCCATTGGGCACCACTTCGTACTACTTTGAAGTGGCTTTTTTGTTCAAATCTGTTATGTCTAGAGAACTGTGTACACTACTGTTAGAGTAATTATTAGCTTTATTATCTTGTATTACAGACTCCTTTGAAGAGACTTTGGTGTGATGTATATGGGGTAAAAATTTCATATGGAGAAAAGTGCAATATGTGTGTGTGGTACGTTCTTTAATGTATTTTTTTAATGAGTTAGAGGGTTTAGTCTCTGCTTTGGGATAAATGCACTAGTTTTGTGAGCTCCAGTTTAGCAAGTTCATCTGTAGTATTTACATGCAACTGATATGCTGGACTCTGTAAAGCAATTACAGTGTATTAATACAAAATAAAGAATATGTGCATTTCATTTTTAAATACCTAGTGAGCTAGAGCAGCCCCTGCCACTCTTGTGTTCTTAGCAGCCTCTTTATGTATTATATCGAGGTTATTTTCTCTCTGAGGTACCAAACTACAAATGACAAGAAAAGGAATGTCTGCTGCAAAGGCTGAGTTTTCTAGACTGAAGTTTGCTTCCTATCATTTTGATGTACTTGGGGTAGATACCACTGACTTTTGAAGGCAAATATGAATGGACAAAGCATTTTAATGACTTCAACAAAAAAGCTGCATTTCTTTACTGCCTGCTACGCTATGGAATGTCAAACACTTCAGGGGCATGCCTCCAACACAGGCAAGATTACCGGTCAGTGGTGTATCGCCTTGACTTTCAAAGAGGAAGGTTATTCTATACTATATATACACACACTATATACAGTATCAGTTTTGACATTTCTCAACATTAATCAGTATACACTATCCAAAAGCAGTTTAATGCTGGCCATATAATGCTAAACCCTAGGAGCACTGTGTGAAGGGGATCAGGGACTGGGTACTGCCAGAGGGAATCCATCATCATTTCCCTAGTAACATCATCATAGCATCCCACCATGTCATCCCATGCTCCACTGAGAAGTACCAGACTGGGTTTGACCAGAAAAAGCACTTGCAGAAGGAGCTGCTTAGGATCAGAATTACCACCTCACAGAAAGAATTGAGATTTTTCTTTAGACATCATAGTAGAACAGTTTCCTCAAGACTCCAAAGTTACTGTGCAATTTCTTGAGCTTAGATTTTTTTTTGCCTGTTTCCTGTTACATTGAGTGCAATTAAAAAGAAAGATTGTGTCCACAAGAAAGATCTCCTTACCTGCTTTTCTATTTTCTACATTTACCTGTAAAAACATTCCTTCTCTGTACATCCTCTACAATATTTGTTTTAGCAGCTCTGCAATGCAAAGCAGTTTAGGACAGGATAGGGGAACCTCCATGGGGGGGGTTGGCAGTGCTAGGTTAATGGTTGGACTCAATGATCTAGAAGGCCTTTTCCAACCAAAATGATTTTATGATTCTATAACCTCAAAAAGATTACATCAACTCTTTGCTGAGAAAAAACAAAGCTCCTGTATTTCTCACTAAAAGAAATAGACCCAAATAAAAACACTGTCCTAAACTCTTTAAATTAAATCTCTTTTCTCTGTCAAGAAAAAGGTTGAGGGGAAAAAAAAAAGCCATAGGTGCCTGTTATAGCCATTCTGGATAGCATAGGAGCAGTTATTAGGGAAACGAGAGCAGTTTTTTTTTTTTTTTAAACTTACTTTTCATTGATTTATTTTTTCATAAAAAAGGCAATTGGATAAAGACAATCTGATGCTATAGATATGGCTATACCATGCAGCATCACTTACAATGGTTGTATTTCCATAGGTGTCAGTATCACATGGGGATTTTACTGACGCTCCTAAATAAAGAGAATTTTGGAAAACTACTCATGCAACAGCAAGTTACAACTAGGTCCTACTGAGCTAGTTACGCTACCAGTTGCCAAGAGGCTGTGTTTCTGTAATCCACATACACACAGAGTTTGAGGCAGATCAAAGAATCAAGGCAGTGCATGGGACACTGCAGTCTGTTGTAGAGACTGGAAAAATGAATGCCACAAGATTGTTATAGTACTTTCCTTAATAGAAGACTCATTCAAAATGACTTAAGATGACATCAAGAAACAGTAGGCAAAGTTGGGGAAAATTTGTTTTCTGTGGAATCAGTAA